AGAGAGAGAGAGAGAGAGAGAGAGAGAGAGAGAGAGAGAGAGAGATGAGCGATACAAGTTTGGTTGTCACTTACCTGTGAAGCGAGTTGTGCAGTCCCACAGAGGAGGAAGAAAGCAGCCATAGCCGCGGAGCAGCATCACGGAGTCACGAAGGAGGAGAGAGGAGGAGGGACCGAGGAGAGAGATAGAGGAAGCAGTGTAGAAGGAGGGACATCGGAGAAGAAGACAGACATAGCCGAGGGTGACAAAAAAAAAAAAAAAAAAAGTAGAGAGAGAAGGAAGAAAGGAAGAAGAAGGTGAAGGAGGAGGAAGGAGGAGACAAGGGTGGCGAAGGAGAAGGTGCCGGCAGCCATAGCCGAGGTGGAGAGTTGACCGAAGGTTTGATCGGACGTTGACCGGAAGGTTGACCAGGGTCTTGCTGCGTTGACCAAGCGTTGACTGAGGAGTTGACCGGCGCCGTTGACCAGGACTTTGACCAAGCTGGAGTTGGTAACATCTCGCCAAGCCCTTAGCCTATCCCCTCACCCTGTGGATGTGCACTTGCCCTGCGGTACTTGCTGAGTCTGAGTCTGTCTATCTCTTCTTTCTGCATCGAGTCTCTTCTGTCCTAAGTGAGAGTACTTTGTGAATGAAGGACAGGCCTGGATGACGAAACCCCTACCGGATTTAGTAGGGCTGAGGCTGTGAAAGATCCAACTGTCCAAGGGGGCATAACCCTCCCAAGGACCGGTGCTGACCGGCTGGACACGGTTGGTATGGAACAGTGGGCCTGAAAGATTGAGTTGTGGGCTGAAACACTAGGCAGTCTAAGTATTGAGGGCCTTGTTGACCCGAACCCCTGTCAGACCTAGTAAGGCTAAAGACTGTGTCTGACGGCTCGACTGTCCCCGGGGATACGAACCCTCCCAAGGACCGGTACAGAATGGCGGGCTGCTCGGTGTGGCACGGTAGGCCTGAAAAGCTGAGCTGTGGGCGGTGAAATAGGTAAGAACCAAGCTGATCACGTCGTCCTGTCTGCAACGTTAAAGAATTCTTGCGGAGTTAAGGGGGATCTCCTTAAATGCCTCCAGATCAGCCACTGGTTCAGTAGTGACAACCTTGGAGTAGGTATAGGCTAGTGACCATAGCTGACAGGGTTCTACCCTGTGGTCCTTAGAGAGTCAGTCAGTTAGTGGTTTGGGTAGGTCTACGTGGTGAGGAGTGGGACATTGTCGTGCACCTGAACACCATGGACGACTACCCCATGTATGGTTTACTCGTTGGGTTCTCCCTCCGGGGGACCCTTTGGCGTTTCATGTTTCCGTTGGGATTCTAGAACACCTTTTCGTGTAGGGTAGAGACTAAGGGTGGTACGACCACACACCCCTACACACCTGAAGAAGAGGCCAAGGCCGCCGCAATCCTGAAGGAGAGGAGAGAGAGGAAGGAGGCCAAGAAGAAGGCCTTGTTGGAGGCGCAGGCGGCGAAATTGAAAAAGATTGAGGAGGAGATGGCCAGAGAGAAAGAAAGATTCAAGAAAGAGGAGCAGAAGTTAAAAGAAGTGGAGGAAGAAGAAAAAGAAGTAGAAGAGGAGCCACTAGCAAGGAGGAGAGAGCAACGAGGGCAGTACAGTGGGAGTAAAAACGATGAAATGGAAAAAAAGATTTCGGAATGGGTTGGGAGAAGAGGAGGAGGTTGCCATGTATATCCCCAAGGATGAGCAGGAGGCCGCCATGAAAGAATGGGATGCAGAGGAAGATTCCCTGAAGCGGCAAGCGATGGAGGATGAGAAAAAGATGGAGGGGAGGCAAGTGAGGCGGCCAAAGAATTAGAGCAGGTGAAGAACCTGAGAGAACAGTTGACCGCCCAAGTGGATCTCCAACGAAAGGTGGAGGTCATTGCCCAGAGTGTTGAGCGCTTGGCCCGGGTACAGGGAGAACAATATGAGTTTAGTAGAAGTCAGGATATGGTCATGCGCTCGATGCAAATGGGATTTCGGGATTTTGCCCGCCAACTGGTAGGCGCAGTAGGGGCCGAGGTGAACCATCGCCTCGAGAAGACAGAACGATTCTGCATGAGCGCCATTGAAGGCGCCAAGCTGACAGCTCCCAAGGAGGAAGAGGCACGTCCTCGCAGGGAGCCAGTCAAAGTCAAGTTCCCCGATTCCTACAGTGGAAAGAGGGAAGAGAACTTTGACAACAGGTCTCCCCGGATCAGCATGTGTTGATTGCAATCCATGCGCTTTGAGATGAGGCTGCCAGTTTCGCAAGATCGCGCTGCTAACTGCAATAATGATGCAGTTGCCTACTCATCGTTCACTCCCCTCGTCGATTTCATGAAATTGCTGCGCAAGTGATTTGCTGATGTCGCTCGTAGTGTCAAGGCCTCAGATAAGCTCCAGACAATCCACTCTCGTAAATGGAAGAGTGCCAGGGCACTCAAGGGCGTAATGGACGAATTAGTGGTTGTTCCTGACCACGGGGTCACAGAAACCCAATTGGTCGGCCTCTTCTATCGGGCCATGGCCGAAGCCTTTCGAGGGCAGTTCTCCGCGAAGAGTGAAGATCCTGCCACCACTTATGATTCCCTTAGCCGTGAAGTGGTGGCTTTTGAGGCAAAGTCAGTGTCACTTTCTACCTTCTGGCACAAAGACTTGGACAAAGGGAAGCAATGGAAGGGTCGCACTATCTCAGGGCAAGTTAAGACTAAGGATAGTCTTGTCCTCACTCTAGATGAAGGTAGTGTTGACGAGATCCCCTACGAGCAGATTGAGTGGAGGTTAGAGGACGATGACAGTAGCAGCAGTCAAGGAAGGACCTACGCTGCTGTCGCGGCTGGAAGGAGGCCGCAAGGAGGAGGACGAGGCCAGGGCCAAGGGGGCCGGGGCTCAGGGAACCGTTCTCAGGACGATCAGGGGGTTGGCGACAGAGGAGGAAACCGCCAAGCGGGAGGAAGGGGTCAAGGTCCCCTGCAAAACCGGTCTGGGAATAGGTCCCCTTATAGGAGAAGCGGTTGGCACCCAGGACTGCCTCAAGGCAGGCCTTGGGAAGATTTCGGTCTGGACCAACGCTTATGGCAACAGCGTGTGAGCCAGGGGCAGTGCATTTATTGCGGTGACCCTGGCCACATCATTAAATACTGTCCGAAGTATAGGGAGACCCGATCGGCTGCGCAAGGGCCAAAAGGCAGCCGCCGGTAGGGGTAGCAACTGCCCCTACCATAAGGCCATGTGGGGAAAGTAGCGTTAGCCGGCAGGAGACTCCCACACCACATGTGCCTATGGCAGAAGTCGCAGGCCGGTGTCTAGATTGCTGTCCAGAGACTGGTTGTGTTAGAGTCTCTCTAGACACCTCCCTCACAGGCGTGGCTGAAGAATTGAAGGAGAGGATGCCCGCCTGGGCCAAGATGAAAAAGGAAAATAAGGGGCAGCTTATACTAGTAGACACATAGATTTTTAGAGGTCGAGTTGGCGCCTTAGTGGATAGTGGAGCCACTCGTAGTTATATTAGTAGGAAGGCGCTACAGAAGCTGAAGTTGCAACTAAAAGTCCAAAGATTAGCAGACCCCATCGTAAGTATCCTCGCGGACAATCGCACCATGCGAGTGGTGGAGTAGGCTGAGGGAGTTCAGGCGTATTTCCGCCTAGAAAAGGATGGGAAAGTGGAGAAAGTTCTCCACTCCTTGACTCTCCTCGTAGAGGATAGCCTCCCGTTTGACATAGTCCTAGGTATGGACTGGGGAGAGGCAGCAGTGGCCACACTCCATTTGAGAGAGCACGAGTGTAGGCTCCCTTGCCCGTCAGGCGACGTTAAGACTGCCCATCTATTCCATGTGTCAGGAGTAGACAACTCCGTAGTGCTCCTGCGTTTGCACGGCTAGTAAAGAAGGAGCAACTAGAGGAACAGGTTTTTGTAGCCTATGTTAGGCCTGTAACTGAGCCTAAGGAAGAAAAGTGTATAGACCCTGCTATTGCCAAGCTGCTGGAGGAGTTTAAAGATCTAGCTGAGCCGCCGACAGGAGTAGTACCGCGGCCTATTCAGCACCGCATCGAGATTGAGCCTGGCAATAGAACCCCCAAAGGAGCCGTATATAGGATGTCTTCGCGCGAGTTAGAGGAGCTGCGCAAGCAATTAGACGAGCTCCTCGAGAAGGGTTGGATTAGGCCCAGTTCGTCTCCATTTGGAGCACCTGTTCTGTTTGTCCCCAAGAAGGAGGGAGAGCTTAGGATGTGTATAGACTATAGGGGTCTGAATGCTATCACAGTAAAGAACGCTGAGCCACAGCCTAGAATAGATGATCTTCTAGATCGAGTGCAGGGGTGCAGATATTTTACGAAGATAGATTTAAAGTTCGGATATCATCAGATAGAGGTTCATCCTGATGATCACTATAAAACAGCTTTCCGGACTAGATACAGGCACTACGAGTTCATCGTGATGCCCTTTGGACTAAGCAACACGCCAGCAACTTTTCAGCGATGTATGAATGATTTGTTTAGGCCGTGGTTAGATAGGTTTGTTGCAGTTTACTTGGATGATATCCTAGTGTTTAGCAAGACCCTCGAGGAGCATCAGGGTCATCTCAGGCAGGTCTTGGAGAAGTTGAGAGAAGCTAACTTCAAGATCAACGCAAAGAAGTGCGAATGAGCGAAGACCCAAGTGTTATACTTAGGCCACGTCTTAGACGGAGACGGCATCAAGCCAGAAGATAGTAAGCTTGCGTTGATCAGGGATTGGCCTACACCGCGTACGTTGACAGAGTTGCGGTCGTTCTTAGGCCTAGCAAACTGTTATAGGAAGTTCGTAAGGAACTTCCCCACTATCGTTGCGCCCCTTCGCAAATTGCTGAGGAAAGAGACCATCTGGAAGTGGGACAAGGACTGCACGTTTGCCATGAAGAAGTTGAAGCAGGCACTGATAGAGTACCCAGTCCTTAAGGTGGCCGATCCGTCCTTTCCCTTTGTCGTCACTACGGACGCTAGTCAGTACGGCATCGGTGCTGTTGTACAGCAAGACGATGGCAATGGTCATAGGCCCGTAGAGTTCATGTCTGCTAGGATGCCTTCAGAGAAGGTAGCGACATCTACTTATGAGAGGGAACTCTACGCTCTCAGGCAAGTGCTGGAACACTGGGAGCATTACTTGCTTGGGACGCACTTCAAAGTCTATTTTGACCATGAGACATTAAGATGGTTGAAGACGCAGGCCAAGATGACACCTAAGCTTACTAGGTGGGCCGCAGAAATAGACTAGTACGACTTCGAGCTTAAGCCAGTCAAGGGTAAATACAATGTAGTTGCGGACGCTCTGAGTAGGAGAGTTGACTGTTTTGGAGCGATAGCTCACTATCTGGACATAAGGAGAGACCTGCAGGAAAGAGTTAAAGAAGCGTATGCGCAGGACCCTATTTATAGTGACCTCCTCAAGAAAGTAAAGGAGGCCCCAGAGACCGAGCCCGATTACCGCACTACCGATGGACTGTTATTCGAGAAGACTAACGTAGTCGACCGTCTATGCGTTCCCAATAGTGAGGAGATCCGGAGTCTGATCTTAGGAGAATGTCACGACACCGAAGGTCATTTTGGTTGGCAAAAGACTTAGGCCAATCTAATGCACCCGTACACCTGGCTAGGGATGAAGAATGACTGCATAGAATATGTTCGCAGTTGCAAAGTTTGCCAGAGGAATAAAACTACAACGCGTGCCCCGCTAGGTCTTCTCAGACCCTTGCCTATTCCCGATCAGCCAGGAGATTCGGTGTCCATTGACTTCAGGACGCTGGCGTCAAGAGTAGGCATGGCAAGAGCCAAGTTATGGTGATTGTCGATAGATTTAGCAAGTATGTTGTTTTTGTACCTTTGCCTTCAGAGGCACGAACCGAGTTAGTGATCCGTAAGCTCTTTGATCACTGGGTCAGTGAGCACGGGGTCCCATTGTCCATAGTTAGTGATAGAGACACCTGGTTCACAAGTCAGAACTGGCAAGAGTTGATGAGAGTCTATGGCTCTAAGTTGTTGATGTCGTCTGGCCGTCATCCAGAAACCAACGGTCAGACTGAACAGATGAATAAGATCCTGCAGCAAGTTCTAAGAATGTACATTAGACCTGATCAAGTTGACTGGGATGAGATGCTCCCCAAGGTAGCCAGTGCTTACAACAATAAAGTGCATTTTTCTTCTTCTCCTTGTAATTCTTCTTCTTTTTCTTCTCGTTCTTCTTCTTCTTCCGATATTTGAACTTTCTTTTTTCCCTCGCTGGTGGTCCTTGCATCCTCTACTTCCACGACACTATGGCGGGCAGTGCCAGCGACATTGGAGAGGGGAATGGCGGGTCTGGATAGAGGAGGGGCAAAACGACAGAAGAAACAGGAAAAGGCTGCTACAACACACCCTTTTACCCCCTTGTCAAATCCCCCCC